CAATCCCAAACCCAAAGTCTCCCCACACCCAAGAACCCCAAAACCATGGCCCAGAATTGCCCCAAATCCTACAAACACCCCCCCTGCACCCCAAACCCCAAACCCTAAACCCCAAACCCGAAACCCTAAACTCCAAAACCCTAAACCCTAAAACCCAAGCCTTAAGCCCAAACCCCAAGCCCTAAACCCCAAACCCTATACCAAAACCCTAAACCCCAAACCCTAAATAATCCTAAACCCCAAGCCTTAAACCCCAAACCCTACTCCCCAAACCCTAAACCCCAAACCCTAAACCCCAAACCCCAAACCCCAAATCCTAAACCCCAAACCCTACTCCCAAAACCCTAAGCCCTAAACCCTAAGCCCTAAACCCTAAGTCCCACCCTGCGAGTTCGAAGCCCTCATGGGCCCCAGCGCCAGCGCGGAGCAAGCGGCGGCCTACCTCCGCGCCGCCTGAGCTGCGGGTGTGTTTAGGGTTCAGGGTTCAGGGTTCAGGGTTCAGGGTTCAGGGTTCAGGGTTTAGGGTTTAGGGTTTAGGGTTTAGGGTTTAGGGTTTAGGGTTTAGGGTTTAGGAATCTTAATGGGGTCTGGGGTTCAGGGTTCGGGGTTTCGGGGCATGGTGTTGGGGTTTTGGGGGTGTGGTTTCGGTTGGTGCAGACACCCTTCATGCGAGGTCCGAACCCTAAACCCTCAACCCTCAACCGTAAACCCTAAACCCTATACCTTAAACCCCAAAACCCTAAACCCCCTAAACCCTAAACCCCTATAAGCCCTCAATTTTTTCATGAAGGCTGGTTCCCGACGTGCTCGTGTTTCATTGTGCTCATGTTTGCTGACATGTAGCGGTCGCGGGGTTCAGTGTGTAGAGCTTGTTTTGTTTTTGTTTAGGGCCTAGGGTTTGGGGTTTAGGGTCTGGGGTCTGGGTTTAGGGCTTGCGGACTTGGTGCTGACGGTGTCCGGATTGGGGGTTTGGGGGTTTGGGTTCATTAGGCTCTCGGATTTCGGCTTAGGGTTTGGCATGTGCGCTTTGGGGGTTAGCAGGGTTTGTGCTTACTGAGGTTTTTCTGGGGTTTGGGGTTCAGCCTTTGGGGGGTTAGCATTCAAGAAGGGCCTGCCAGACAAGATCGGGTTTCAAGGTATCCCAAAAACACGACCGGATACTCCCTAAACCCTACGCAGGACGCGGGGGGGGGGGGCAGAAACCTCAAACCCCGAACCCTAAACCCTCAAACCCTACAACCCTCAAACCCCAAAACCCTAAAACCCCTCAAGAAACCTAAACAGATCCCTAAGATCCTAAAACCCTAAAACCCCTAAAGCCCTAAAACCCTACAGACTTAAACCCTAAAGTCCTCAAACCCTCAAACCGCAAAACCGCCCATACCCTCAACCTTCAAGGTTGGAACCATGGGCCCCTAGTATGGTTCCTTATCCGTGTTTATAGTGATCCGAAGTAAGGGCCCTTGTTATGTATAGTATGTATAGTGTATATAAAACCCTAATACCTGCAACCCTCCACCCTCAACCCTAAACCCGAAACCCTGAACCCTAAACCCCAAACCCTAAACCCTAAACCCCAAACCCTAAACCCTAAACCCTAAACCCAAACCCTAAACCCCAAACCCTAAACCCTAAACCCTAAACACGGGGGCCAAGGAGGTGCACCCCAGCGTGCCTCGACGGAGCACGGCCTGGTGGGCCGAAGATAGGGAGGCACCTCGGTAATGTTTAATGTTTAGGGTTTAGGGTTTAGGGTTTAGGATGTTAGGATTTCAGGATTTTAGGGTTTAGGGTTTCGGTAGCGTTTTGGGTTTGCAGGTTTTAGGGCCTGTTTAAGGTTTTCAGGGTTTTGGATTTGGGGGGGTAGGGCTTTTTCTGGGATTTTCAGGGTTTGGAGGGTTTAGGGCTGTCGGGTTGAGAGGGTTAAGAGGTTAAGGTCTTCAAGCTTCTTTAGCCCCAAGCCCTGTGAACCGTAAACCCCAAACCCCAAACCCTAAACCCTAAACGCTAAACCCCAAACCCCAAACCCCAAACCCTAAACCCTAAACGCTAAACCCCAAACCCTGAACCCTAAACCCTAAACCCCAAACCCCAAACCCTAAACCCTAAACCCTAAACCGTAAGCCGTCAACCCCAAAACCTAAGGCCCTATACCTCAAATCCTAAACCCTACGTCCTACATCCTGAAGCTGCCCGAAACCCTAAACCCGAGGCCCTAAGCCCTAAGCCCTAAACCCTAAACCCTAAATTGAAGAGCCTCCGGCTCAAGCCGCCGACCCCGCTGGAGCATAGTTGAGAGGTCTAAACCCGCTCGCATGGTTCGAAGATCATCCCAGCTGCTCGGCAGAGTTCTGTGAAACGTTTGGGGGGGGTAGGGGGTAGCACCAGGACAAGCTCAAGCCAAAAAGACGGGTGGGGGGGGGGGGGGTGGGGGGGTAGGGGGTGGGGGGGGGGGGTAGGGGGTGGGGTGGGGGTGGGGTGGGGGGGGGGGGGGCGGGGGGTGGGGGGCGGGGGGGGGGGGGGTCGACCCCCCTACCCCCCCCCCCCCCCCCCCCCCCCCCGGCGTTTTGGGGGGGTAAGGAGGGAAAGAGGGAGGTTTTCACCTCCTCAAACCCATCACGCCGCCAGGGTCGGCGGACCCTCAACCCTAAACCCAACCCTAAGCCCCAAGCCCCAAGCCCTAAGCCCTAATGAAGCTCCTCGGCCCCCGGCCCCTCCTTGACCGCCCTAAACCGTAAACCGCAAGCCCTAAACCTCAAACCCTCAACGCCATGAACATGGGGACACCCCTTCCCCCCCCCCGCCCCTCCCGGGCAGAAAAAGGAAAACCTAAAAGCCTCCTCTATAAACCCTTTTAACCCTCTAACATTTTTAGCCTCTATCAGCCCTAAAACACCTGCTCAACCCTCTAAAGCCCCAAACCCCAAGCCCCAAGCCCCAAGCACCAAGCCCCAAGCCCCAAGCCCCAAGCCCCAAGCCCCAAGCCCCAAGCCCCAAGCCCCAAGCCCCAAACCCCAAACCCCAAACCCCAAACCCTACTCCCCAAACCCTAAACCCTAAACCCTAAACCCCAAACCCTAAACCCTAAACCCTAAACCCTAAACCCTAAACCCTAAACCCTAAACCCTAAACCCTAAACCCTAAACCCTAAACCCTAAACCTAAACCCTAAACCCAAAACCCTAAACCCTAAACCCTTAAACTCCTACGCCCTAAACGCCAAGGTCACAGACCAGAACTTTGGTTGCCCAGCCCACTGGGCGGCGGCCCACCTGTCCCAGCAAGGCCCCGGGGTTCTTGGAGGGGTTTAGGGTTTAGGGTTTAGGGTTTAGGGTTTAGGGTTCGGGGCGTTTCGGGGTTCAAGGTTTTTGGTTTTGGGGGGGCTGCAGCTTTGCTTACAGCAAGCACCTATTGGAGGGTTTAGGGTGCAAGGTTCAGACAACAGCTGGCCTTCAACAAAAGAAACATCGCTTGAAAGGGTTTAGGTTGCGGGGTCTAGGGTTTAGGGTTCAGGGTTTAGGGGTTGGTGTGTATGTTTTGGTTTTCTGAACACATAGATGTTGTAGAAAGGAGTTCCAGCGGCACTCCCGAGGGCTCATAGAAACTACCTCAAGCCTAAGGGTTTAGGGGTTAGGGTTTGGGGTTTAGGGTTTAGGGTTTAGGGATGAAGGGGCTAAGCTGAGATGAAAGAAAGGTTTTAGGACTGACGCTAAGCTCAGGGTACACGCCGTATTGGCAGGATGCAACTTTGCAGAACATACATGGATGCAAACCGCAAACCCTAAACCCTAAACCCTAAACCCTAAACCCTAAACCCTAAACCCTAAACCCTAAACCCTAAACCCTAAACCCGTCATCCCTAAACTCTAATCTCCCGGCCCTAAGCCCTAGAACGGACAGTGCTCCTGTGCCATGCCAGAGTCTCTACAAACCTAAAGCCCTAGTAGTAGAGTAGGTAACCTTCAAGCTCTTTGGGGTGATATAATCCCCTGATAATCCCAAAGGTTAGGGTTTAGGGTTTAGGGTTTAGGGTTTAGGGTTTAGGGTTTAGGGTTTAGGGTTTAGGGTTTAGGGTTTAGGGTTTAGGGTTTAGGGTTTAGGGTTTAGGGTTTACCTTTATTTCCCCCAGGTTACTGGACAACTAAGAAGCCCTAAACCTAGTACAGACGGCGAGTGCTTCAGGGACAACGCTTGGCGCAGCTTCATGGCTTCAGCCCATCGTGTCTTCGCGCAGTGCCTGACTCAACGTCATGTTCGAACTGCCTCTGCAGGCTCTAGTGTAATATAGTAGAGTCGAGTATGATATATAGTTATTTAGCATAGCTAATTATTTAAATAACTGGAATCTAGGATAAACTGAGTTGTGAATGCTTCAACTTACGCTCAGGGTACACGCCGTATTGGCAGGATGCAACTTTGCAGAACATACATGGATGCAAACCCTAAACCCTAAACCCTAATCCCTAATCCCTAAACCCTAGACCCTAAACCCTAAACCCTAAGCCCTAAACGGATCAACATCAATGGGCCGTTCCCCGACTCCAAATTCTTCAGGCTTCCTGTAAACATCGAGCAATGCGGCAAAGCTTGCTTGTTCTTTGGGCCCACTTCTGTTCCGTTTAACACTGCACTGTTAGACCTTAAGCCCTGAACCCTGAACCCTAAACCCTAAACCCTAAACCCTAAACCCTAAACCATGCTGCGGATTCGGACAGTATCGGGTGAAGGGCTCGATGCGCTGGACCTGGCGAGCTTCCTCGAGATGCTTCCTTCAGGGATGCATCCTGTCCGGGCACTGAAGCTGGGTAGCCCAGTGGTACCCTTTACCCTAGGGTTTAGGGTTTAGGGTTTAGGGTTTAGGGTTTAGGGTTTAGGGTTTAGGGTTTAGGGTTTAGGGTTTAGGGATAGTGGTAGCCCAGTGGTACCCTTTACCCTTTTTTTTTGCGTTCTGGTTTCCCTTATAAAGCACCCGACCACAAAAAGGGTGCCCTTAAGTACAATATGGTTGCTGGGCTACTAAGGAAGCAACGCTTGCACAGTGTTCATGGCCTGCCCAGGTTCAGGCAGAGGCTGATATCCCTGGATGAAGAGACGATTCTTGATGAAAAGCGTTCGCTGAGGCCCGGTGAAGTTCAGGTAGTAGTGTTAAACTTCTGCCCGGCATCTGAAGTGGAAGTGCAAGCGCTTCGGGATGCCGCAAGAGGCGGCCTCGCATCTGAAGTGGAGCGCTTTCTCGAAAGGCCGCAAGACCCAGATGTGGGTGATCCGCTCCCAATGTTCCAGGCAGCCAAGCACGGCCATGTGGAGGTGGTGCGCCTGCTGCTGGAGGCCAACGCGGACAAAGACAAGGCTACGAATGCTGGGGCCACCCCTTTGTTCATTGCAGCTCGGCATGGGCATTTGGAGGTTGCACGTCTTTTGCTGGATGCCAATGCGGATAAGGACCAAGCCAATGAGAATGGCACCTCCCCTTTGTTCATTGCTGCACAGCAGGGGCATTTGGAGGTGGCTCGTCTCTTGCTGCAGGCCAACGCGGACAAAGACAAGGCTATGAATCGCGGCGCCACCCCTTTATTCATTGCAGCTCAGCAGGGGCAGTTGGAGGTTGCACGTCTCTTGCTGGAGGCCAACGCGGATAAGGACAAGGCTATGAATCGTGGCGCCACCCCTTTGTTCATTGCAGCTGAGAAAGGGCAGTTGCAGGTTGCACGTCTCTTGCTGGAGGCCAATGCGGATAAGGACAAGGCTGTGAATGATGGCGCCACCCCGTTGTTCATTGCAGCTCAGCAGGGGCATTTGGAGGTGGCACGTCTCTTGCTGGAGGCCAATGCGGACAAGGACAAGGCTATGAATCGCGGCGCCACCCCTTTGTTCATTGCAGTTCGGCAGGGGCAGTTGGAGGTTGCACGTCTCTTGCTGGAGGCCAACGCTGACAAGGACCAGGCTGTGAATGATGGCGCCACCCCTTTGTTCATTGCAGCTCAGCAAGGGCATTTGGAGGTTGCACGTCTCTTGCTGGAGGCCAATGCGGATAAGGATCAAGCCAATGAGAATGGCACCACCCCTTTGTTCATTGCAGCTCAGCAGGGGCATCTGGAGGTGGCACGTCTCTTGCAGGAGGCGAACGCGGACAAGGACAAGGCTACGAATCGCGGCGCCACCCCTTTAATCATGCAGCTCGGCAGGGGCAGTTGGAGGTTGCACATCTCTTGCTGGAGGCCAACGCTGACAAGGACAAGGCTATGAATCGTGGCGCCACCCCTTTGTTCATTGCAGCTGAGAAAGGGCAGTTGCAGGTTGCACGTCTCTTGCCGGAGGCCAATGCGGATAAGGATCAAGCCAATGAGAATGGCACCACCCCTTTGTTCATTGCAGCTCAGCAGGGGCATCTGGAGGTGGCACGTCTCTTGCAGGAGGCGAACGCGGACAAGGACAAGGCTACGAATCGCGGCGCCACCCCTTTAATCATGCAGCTCGGCAGGGGCAGTTGGAGGTTGCACGTCTCTTGCTGGAGGCCAACGCTGACAAGGACCAGGCTGTGAATGATGGCGCCACCCCTTTGTTCATTGCAGCTCAGCAAGGGCATTTGGAGGTTGCACGTCTCTTGCTGGAGGCCAATGCGGATAAGGATCAAGCCAATGAGAATGGCACCACCCCTTTGTTCATTGCAGCTCAGCAGGGGCATTTGGAGGTGCCACGTCTCTTGCTGGGGGCCAATGCGGATAAGGACAAGGCTATGAATCGCGGCGCCACCCCTTCATTGCAGCTCAGAATGGGCATGTCGCGGTCGAACGCCTTTTGTTGGATGCCAATGGGGGCAATGCCAAAGCCACGGATGTTTGCCCCTTTGCTCGTTGCAACCGAGGCTGGGCACAGGGCAGCTTGAGGTCGCACAGCTTCTGCTCGAGTCCTCTTCCTGGACAAGGACAGCGCCACCGGATGACCGGGCGTACAGTTGTTGCCTCAGGGGCTTATAGGGTCAGCAAGGCAATCGCGCAGAGGATGTGACGTGGATCCTGGACATGGCCCCGGAAGTAGCTTCCTGAAGCCTAACTCCCTAGGATGCCCAGTAGTGCCCTTATTCCCCTTTTTTGGGGGGTTAGGTTCCCTTATAAACCCCTTGAAACAAACAAGGGTACCCTTTTTAATCCTGGGTTACTGAGCATCCTAGCTCCTCAGCAGTCCAGCAGGCGAAAGCAAAGGCCTGGGGCCCGCAGTCAACAGCCAGGAAGATCAAAACAGTGCGCTTGAGTGGGATGTTCCCCCCTTATACCAGCAGCCCTCGAAAGGGACTATAGTAACCCCCTTAATAAGTCCCCATTAAGGACTGTACAGTCCTTAACAGGGATTATAGTACCCCCCGTGAATTAAATCCCTATAAGGGAGCTGTTAGTATAGGGGAACATCCCAACACATCTTCGTGGCTCTTCTCATGCTGAGCTTTGGCGAAATTGATCCGTGCCATCACCATGAACCTCTAGGTAAGGGGTGCAGGGTTTAGGGTTTAGGGACGCATCATGCGTGGGGTTCGGCAGGGTTTATAGGGTTTATAGGGTATATAGAGTTTATACCGTTTGTAGGGTTTACACCGTTTATGGGGTTTGTATGCGCATATAGGGTTTATAGGGTTTATATGGTTCACAGGGTTTATAAAGTTTGTAGGGTGTAGTAGGGTTTACAGGGTCTAGGGCGTAGTAGGGTAAACCCTAAACCCTAAACCCTAAACCCTAAACCCTAAACCCTAAACCCTAAACCCTAAACCCTAAACCCTAAACCCTAAACCCTAAACCCTAAACCCTAAACCCTAAACCCTAAACCCTAACTGGCAGGCTTCAGCATCTTCCAATACCTGCGACTCGGCGGGTTTAGGGTTTAGGGTTTAGGGTTTAGGGTTTAGTGTTTAGGGTTTAGGGTTTAGGGTTTAGGGTTTAGGGTTTAGGGTTTAGGGTCTGTTCCGCAGCCTTCTGGTCCTTGATGACGCTTCCAGTTTACAATACGAAGCTTGACGTTTCTATAGGATCTCCCCAAACAGGGGCATCATTTAGAGAACTTGCTCGAACCACCCAAAACCCTACACCTTTTGGTCCCGACCCTTACCCCTAAACCGCAAACCCCAAACCTTGTTGGCCTCCAGATTCCTGAGCCCTAAACCCTAAACCATAAACCCTAAACCCTAAACCCTAAACCCGAAACCCTAAACCCTAAACCCTAAACCCTAAATCCTAAACCCTAAACCCTAAACCCTAAGCCCTAAACCCTAAACCCTAAGCCCTAAACCCTAAACCCTACACCTAAGGTCGGATCCGTGGGCCCTTGGTGTGGTCCCTTACCCTTGTTTATCTTGCTAGCCCAGTGGTGCCTTTACCCTTTTTTTGGTTCTGGGTTCCCTTATAAAGTAACCAACCAGTTTAGGGTTTAGGGTTTAGGGTTTCGGGTTTAGGGTTTAGGGTTTAGGGCTTAGGGTTTAGGGCAATCCTTATTATAGTACGGTTACTGGGCTACTAAGCTACGTATATAGATCCGAAGTATGGGCCCTTGTTATATGAACGTGTATAGAAGAGATATGTAACAAGGGACACAAATTCAGAGCCCATACTTCAAATCCCCTAAGCATATTTTAAATAACATATTTATTAAGGTTCTAAGGGGAGTACAGTGAGGTATGCACACCCGGCCAAGCAAGACTCCGTGACCTACCACTCGGACGAGCTGCTTGGATTTCTCATCCTTTACGGTTTGGGGTTCAGGGTTCAGGGTTCAGGGTTTAGCTCAGTGGGTTTGGGTTTGGGGATTTAGGATTTAGGGTGGGGTTTGAGGGTGGGGTTTCAGGGATTTAGGGGGCTTAAGGGTTTAGGGATTTGGGGTTTAGGGTTTAGGGGAGTAGGTTAGGGGATGTAAGGTGTAGAGATCTAGGGGTTTAAGGGTTTAGGAGTTTAAGGGTATAAGGGCTTAGTTTTGCGGTTTGAGGTCTTGCGGTCTAATGTTTATTGGAGCTTCTGACAGACAGAAGCTCCACAGAGTGAATATTTTGGACCCTACATCATCTATGCCGGGGACTACGAATTTCGTGCCTTCGCCTCACCGTGTTAAGGTTTAGGGTTTACGCCTAAACCCTAAACCCTAAACCCTAAACCCTAAACCCCAAACCCTGAACCCTAAACCCTTTTTCCATGCTTGGATTCTCGGGCAGAATGTTCAGACCTCTCCCACGCTGACTCTTCGATCCATGGAGTGTAGGACTACTCATGTTAACCTCACATGGTCTTTATTAGGGTTTAGGGTTTAGGGTTTAGGCCGTGTCTGGTCCTTATTCTATAGGTGCTTTTGGTAACAAGGACCTTAGCCAAATACTCCCCCTCATAGGGGTCGTCACTCCCATCAACACCCTACCCCTTACTTTGAATTTTCCTGAAACCATATAAGTTGGGATGTTTCCCCTTATACTGACAGCTCCTTAATAAGGATTATCGTACCCCCTATGAGAATCCCCCCCTATGAGAATCCCTGTTAAGGACCGTCAGTATACGGGGGATCATCCCAACATATCAGGAACCCTCTAGCATTTTAAGGAATATTCCTTCATTAAGGGGTATTGGACCCTAAACCCTAAACCCTGAAGAGTTCCTGGGCTATGAGCCAGGTTGCACTACGTCTTCACCGATCTTCCCAAGAACGCCACGGCGGAGGAGAGGGAGCTCTCCTCGCACATCGCAGGGCCGCTTGGACGGAACTGCGGCGAGAGGGTTTATAGGACTTATAGGGTTTATAGGTTTTGTAGAGGGTTTGTAGAGGGTGTTTAGAGGGTTTGTAGAGGGACTGTAGAGGGTGTTTAGAGGTTTTATCGAGGGTTTGTAGAGAGTTGATAGAGGATTTGTAGAGGGATCAAAGGGTTTCGCAGTGCGGTTTGGGTTTGGGTACGCCCCCCCCCCCCCCCCCCCCCCCCAAACGAAGACCCTGAACACTCAACCCTATTCCCGAAACCCCCCCAATTCTCGTTAAAC